AATGCGACTTAAACTCCGCTTGCCAAAAAGAGGCTCCTTCTTATAACCGGCGTAGTTCGGTACTTTTAAGTTGCGTTGGCTTCCAGGCAAGAGTCTTAATTCGCGCTTTCTCTTGTCGCCTGAAGAGAGAGGGATGTTAAGAGAGTTTTTCTCTCTGTCTCTCTCGTGCGTTTGGCTTCCCACTTCAACCCAACTCAAAGCCGGCGAAGGAATGTTGGGTTTTCTCTCCCTGGACCTCAATTTCCCGCGGGGAAAACCCCGAAGGGGAAGGGAGGAGCTTGGGAGAGAGAGACGCATCAACGGCCTGGCGTTTTCCGTGGAATTCTTTGGCTACCGGGGGCTGGCTTGTGTCTTTTGGACGTTTGCAAACTCCTTTCCTTGGCTCGGTGGTGTCAAACCAAATATTTGATTGGCTTAGGAAAATGTGGGGATTTAATAGGGAGGAAGCGCGAAGCGCGAAAGACAAATCTTTGAACAACAAAAGCAAGCCATTCTCCCAGGGTGTATTTATTTACAGAGCCACGAGGCTCCGCGGAGAGATGACGGAGCGAGAGCTTTCCTTGAAGACACGACTCCCCCCCTCCACCTCCCCATGTATTGGGAGGTTTATTTCCAGTTGCCCTGGCCGGAGGGTGGACTTTCCCCCAGTCCAGTCACTCCTCCCTCCCTCCCTCTCCCTCCCCCGGGCCCCCCGCCCTTCTTGGAGCTGCCAAGAGGATTTGCTTTGTCTCTCCCGCCAGCGCCTTTCTCGGCAAGCCACCCGCATTAACATTCTTCCTGGTCCAGCCTCTGGCTGCTGCTCACCCGTCTCCCCGGAGACGCCACTTTCCGGCTCTCACTGTCAAGTACCCCTTGACTCTTTATTTTTGCCCTTTTTATCTATTACAACTAATTCGAGTTCTTTTGCCCTTTTCAGCTCTCAAGACGTGGCTTTCTGCAAGGTCTAACCCTCCTTTCGTTCCCTCCACCCTATTCCTTCCCCCTCCCTCCCTCCCTCCCCCCCAACTCCCCCCCCTCCTTCGCTCCCTGCCACGGAGATCTCTGGATGCAGAGCCTTTTAGAAATTGAAGAGGGTGGGTTTCTCCCCCTCCCTCTTCTCCTGTCAAAATGAAATTTTCACTTCAAATTATCTTGGCTGATGCAACGGGTCCCCCCCCCCTCTTCTCTTCTTTCTCCACCCTCCCCCTCCTCCTTCTTTTCCCCAGGCCGGGAGCCTCCCGTCTCCGCCTTTTGACAGCCCCCATCAGCAGAGAGGTTCCGATAATATCATCCAAGAGAGCGAAAGTCAATATAATGACAGGGGGGAGGAGGAGAAGGGAGGGGGGGAAGTTCAGAGTCCAATTAGAGCCGCTGGTGAGGAGAGCGGAGGGAAAGGCTGCGCGGCGGCTGTTTCCTTCGGCACCCGGCTCCGGAGCGCCTCGCAGCTCCTGTGTGACGCCGGTCGCTGAAACCGAGCGCCTGGAAGGTCTAAAGTTGCTGTTTTACAAAAGAGAGTCGCTGGAGTTCGGGATCCATTCTTGGCTCCCTTTCCTTCAGTATAACTGACTTCGAACCGCAGGTGATTTAGTCCTTTAGTCCTGCTTTTCAGTGCTCCGCGTTGCGGTTCACACAACCCAACGTTCTTGAGAAAATATGAGCCAGGCCAAGGGTGGGAGGCTGGAAGGTTGAAGTGGTGGAGCCCTGAAGAAGCGTGGCCGCAAAACTTTATGCACAAGCACACAAACTCAGTTCAGAATAAATCCGATGGGCATTGTTAGTGGCTGGCGTTTTTTTAAATTACTCGGCCTATTTGACTTAACGACAAATGCAGCCATTACACACACACACCTCGGAGCTCTTATAACAGCGTGTTTGTGTATTAGCAATTTAATCCTGCGCGTATGTGGTTCGGAATGACAGCAAGACCCAACAGATGCTGGATTTGGAGGCGAACTGGGGGTGGGGGGAGCGGGGGAGGGAGAGGGTCTTTTCCAGGCAGAGACCTGGTCCCACTTAAGACCACTCTCCCGGAAATCCACTCGCTTTAAAGGAACCATCCCCGAGATTTAACGCCCCACCCTCCCGCGAACTTAACCGGACAACTTTTAGGTCCGTATTCCTTTCAAAATTACTTCTGTGAAATTTACAAAGTTTTAAATGATTTTGGCGGTGGGAATGGCGTGGGGCTCCTTTTAAAAAGTCTCAATCTGAGGGCGGACTTCAGGCAATCTCCCTAGAAACCCGCAGACTACTCCCCGTAGTCCATCCTCAGGCGGCCGTGAGAAGGGGGGATCTTGACGGCTCCGTTCTTCTGCAGGCTAAGTGGCAAATTGCCCGGCATTTCTCGAGAAAGTCCCGCGCCGTGGGGGGAACGCTCCTTCTTCCTCTTGGCTGCGCTTCTATTTAATGTCAAAACGGTAAAGCATCCATCCTGAAGTGCTGAAATATTCATAGAGGATCCAACGATTCGCTCTCCATACCAGGGGGAGAAGCTTCAAGTTAAAACGGTGCTTTAAAACATCAAATCTTCCATGTGAATCAATTGCTTTGCTCACATTAACGGAGCGGGGATGAATGCGGGGGGGGGGGATGGGGTGGAAGGAAGAGAGGTGCCGGCAGCGTCTGGAATACAGTATCAGGACTTCCTTGGCAATCTTACATTCTCAGTAATTCCATTTCCCCAAATCCCCCTGCTAGCTTTTTTTCCTTTTGGGGAGAATCCCACCGTATCTCCTTCCTAAACCGAATATATGAGCAGCTTAGAATTCAGCTGAATTCTAAACGTCTATATAATCAATTCTATGTGTGGAACCGAATTGAAATGTCTTTATGCAACTAGATTCTGTGGAAATTTTCTCAGAAACAAATTCTTCTTCCACCTTCCTTTTTAACCAAACTTGTCTAAGATCTCGGGATAGAGAAGGAAAGCATGCCTCAGTTGGTCACGATAGTGTCCTTCTAATTGGCTTGAGAAGCCCAACCGTTATTGGGGTCCTTTAAAAATATGATTCTCCTAATGGGTAACCCCTTCCTTCCTCCAAATTCCAGATCCCGTCCAAATCTTTCCTTGCCCGTTTATAACTCCCGTTATAGAGAAATAGAAAAAAGGTGTAGCCCATTTTGTCAGTAGGTGCAATTATAAATATTTCAACAGAAGAGCTTAAAGTATAAACGTTCTTAATTTTTAAAAATAGCCTAAAACCAGCACTCGGCCTTCGCTTTCTACGTTAAACTCCATAAGCACTCTCCTCCCAAAGCAATGGGTTGTATTGGCTCCCTTTTTTTAAACTTTTGTATTATGTGTTTCTTTTAATGTTGTACGCCGCCCTGAGTCCTTGGGAGAAGGGCGACCTATAAATCTAATAAACCTAAACCTTTCACGCATCGCCTTTTGAGTTTT